TATTTTGCTTTGACTGTCCCTTTCCCTAAACAAGTGGATTATCTTCTATCTAATCTTCTCTCAAAAAAAGAAAAATAAAGAAAAACTTTAAGACTGCTTATATTCTGCAAAGCCAAGTTAATCACTTGTCCTTAATCCAATCAAGCATGAATTTCACTTAGAAAGCAGAAAATAAAAATGCCCCAAGAACAGAGCAGAAACTAAAAACAGCTGCAGTTGAGGCCTGGCAAAGCATCACCAGGGAAGAAATCTGGTGTCTGGTGATGTCTGTGGGTTTCCGGCTGTCACTGACTGCAAAGGATCTGCAACCAAGTCCAATTCATGCAATTTATTTAGGTCTAAAGGATTTGCAACCAATTTAATTTACAGTTAAGCTAGTTTGTCCATTTATTTTTGGGCCCCTCAGTGAAAGTCTGCACTTTGGCCTTATATTCATTATTTAATTTAACGTCCATTATGCTGTGGTAGACAGCTAACATAACAACATTGTCCATGTCCAAACATTTATGGACCTGACTGTGCATGGATCATTCTAGTGGATTGATTTAAAGTCAGAACTGAAAACACATTTCAGGCATTTAACTGACTTGGACTTCGTGGCACATTTACTTAAAAGCAATGAGATCTAACTGCTCATCTAACTGGTCATGAAGGACAGGGATGCAGTCTCACTTCCTGCTCTAAAATACAGGGGTGTGGCTAAAATAAGGCTCCGCCTGTGGACTAAAACAAAAATAGCTTGCTGCATACTGTATACTGCATTAGTATATACTCAGTACTGCACACTTGTCTTCATCAGTAATGTGCAGTACAGTATTCAGTATACAACACAAGCTGTGTGTCTACAGGGCAGGAGTGCGACTAGACTGCCAACAGCAGACACTGAGCCAGTCAGACCACCTCAGGACCCGCCCCATTTTTCTCAGTTCCGTTGCTTCCGTTGCTAGCCACTTTTCGGGGTGTATGGGCCTGTATGACTTTTAAAATACACCCCATACCATGACAGAGGACAGGATGTTGTTATTACCCATTTCCAAAGCCACAAATAAACTTTAAAAATGTCAGTTTTGGATTGGTCTGTGTGGTAAACCTGTGTGGTTGACTAACACACCTGTTTTCGTCTGTTTGCAGGCCATTTTATTTTCATTACATTAGTAGTTGGTAAAATGAGTTAGTCTGACTGAATAAAAACAGTGTGACTCCACACATGAGCCTGAAAAGCCGATACTGAGCGGATTGTTTGATTGAGACCAACTGAGTTACATTTTAAGTATATTATGTACATTTCATAGTAAGTCAGTTAACTTTATTAAATAGACAAAATAAGCAAAACCACTTCAAGACCAGCAGAGAGCTGGGGGGCTTCCGTGTGGCTGTGAGTGCAGCAGCATTTGGACAAATGTCTTTTATTTTATAATTAATAATGTATTGAAAGTCTGAATCCGGAGCTATTAAAATATCCAGGTGGTTATGTCAGTGCTTACATCATGGATGTAATGCGTTGCATTTTGGGCCGCGTACTGGAATATTCCAGTTATCCGTCATCTGGGTATCTTTGGAGTACTGGAGAAATTTATGTTGGTCACATACTGCATACTACATACTACTTTTGGACACAGCAGTACACCAGCAGCATGTATTAGGCTGTTTTGAACATGGCCTATGCTTTTCAGTAGTGACATGGAAGCGTAGGAGAGCATTTTGCTAGTATAGCTTTTTTTTATTTAAAAATAAACTCATGATAAATCTACATTTTTTAACTTCACTTTCAAAGAAGTAAAAAAAGTCATTTAAAAAACATAGGAAAAAAGAACTATTCTCAAAAGGTGATATTTAGGGGTTAGAGTTTGGAACAGTCACCTGCCAATAGAAAGCACCACACAAATGACGATTTTGTATATATTTAGCTTTTTACTATCTCTATCTCTGTCTTCATGTATATATACATATATTATTATATTATTCTAATGTTACTCTGAACAGATGTGAGTTAGAAACAGCAGCAAAGCAGCAGTATCTCTTGTGATTTTTAGAAGCTGAAGTGGCCTTTAATGCTGACTAAGCTAGAGGAGGAGAGCAGGAGATGTAGGTAGAAGATAATGGCAGCAGCTTACTGCCACACCACTCTACCACTCTGCTGCAGAGATACGGAGCCTCCTGTAGCTCTCCAGTAGTAATAGATGCAGGTTATATCCAAGAGATCAAAAAAAGGTTCAGTATGTGCAGGACTAATCTATCTGCGTCCTAAAAGCCAGACCACACTGAGTGATGTAATATGAACAAAGTCTACCCTTTACAACTTATGATAGACATCAAGCTCCTGTAATTCTTTCTCTCATTAACTTTTAATAATACAGCTTTTACCCATCATTAAAGATACAAACATAGCTTCAAGAAATGGAAGCTTTAAAAGGCACTGTTCAGATATAGATTCTCATTGACTCATTAAACCCTTTGGTTTATGTTCACGTATTAATATGTATATTTAACTACCATGAATTGTATGATGAATTATTCAGTAAGTACTAATATAATAATGTGAAAGTTATGTAGTTAGCCACATATGGGCCTTTAGATTTTAAAGGTTTCGCATATTGAAAAAAAAAAAGAAAACAGAAAGAAAAAATGGGCTGGAGCTTTTTTTACATTGTAAAATGCATGTACAGTGTTATATTTGAGTCAGTAATATATATATATATATATATATATTATATATTAACACCTTATATGCAAAGGTGTGGTAGAAATCTCATTTTGTTTATTATAGTGGTCACAGCTGAGGAGGAAGATGATAAAGGTCTGATGTGGTCTGAGGCTGATCCACCTATAGCCAAGGGGGCATCATACTCCATCATGGTGGACGAGTGGTCAGTGGCACTTAAATGGTCTTTACATTAACAGAGAAATTCAACAAAACAACAGCAATTTCCGCATATAAGGAGGCAACCACATTCAACTTAAGCTGTGTTTTGCAGGCTTAATTTAGATGCAGTGAAAATGTACATAAAGAATATTTAGCTAAACTAAGTTGAGAAAATTAAAAACAAAAACTAGGCAGAAAGTTGACTTAATATTTAATGTTGACCTGACTTGTAATTTTTTAGTGTGCCATCGTAGTTTCATAAGGTGCATGCATGTTGAGCACATCGTCACTGTCGAAGGTGTTTGTGGTGGCATCATTCGCGACCTCCCAGAATTACAAGTGAACATTTTAGTGACTCTCATCTTAGTCAGCGTTCTTCTCAAAGAACGAGCCTTTCGCTGCCACTGGCCGTAACTGCTTTGCTTCACAATGCTGGAGCTCAGAACAAAGGCTGAAAGTTAATGATGTCCCTGGAGAGTGAAAGACAGCAGGTTAAGAGAGAGGCTTTCATGATAGCAACATAAAAGCAGTGCTTTTTTTTTTTTAGCAGTAATTAAGGTTCTCAAAGGGTCTCAGGTGTCTTATCATTGTCCAGCCCTATCAGTGAGATTGACCTCTTTGGTCCTGAAGACCTTCTGGCCTCTTCACAAGTCCGTATTTTTTTCTCTCTAAACAAACATACTCTTCACTGTTGCTGTGCCACATACATTTTTTTGTTTCTGTTTGTTTATTTATTTATTTGTTTGTTTGTTTGTTTTGCCTTTTTGGTTTGCTTGGACTTATATGGAGATGGTTGATGATGGGTCTCATTGGTACTTGTGGTTTGCCTCAATGACAGTAAGTGCTTTTGTAATCAGTAGCACTATTTAGTGGGTTGGTGGCTAGAATGTTATGAGCACACTAAAGAAGGCTGTGTGCCCAAATTTGCCTGTGCTTAACCTATGTTTCTTGTGCCATCTGAAATCTTTCTACTCTTTAACTTTCTTTTTTTGGATCTAGCACTTTATAAGTCCTTTTCACAAGGAGGGTAGTCTGTTAACCTTTTTCCATACACATATTGATAAAATCCATATGGTGTTATATTATTTGAATAGAATCATTTTCATCTTATAAGGTTTTAAAATTATGAATAATAAATATATCATGACACAAATTGGAGGATCCATTTGAAAACACAGGCAGATACAGAGGCAGATAAATAGACGTCAGTTCTCTTTGTGCAGTGTTGATGGAAGATAACTGGTGAGATGTGTTGTTAAGAAATTGGATCTTTCTGTGAGTCATGTATGTACAATGGTATCATTATCTATAGAAAGGTCCTAATAAAGATTTTAGAGAGTTTGCACCGACCACTGACCACTTCCACCCCACCCGCACTATGGACTCCAGTGCGAGTAGCCCACCCCACAGTTTACATCACTGGGTCAGGCCATGGCCACAAATCAGGCAAAATCAAGGAGAGGAAATAGGAAAGGAAGTTTCATTCAGCTATTAGGACTATTCAGAACTGTCCTCTCCAATTGTGTGCAAAAGTTTGGGCATCCCAGTCAAGTTATGTTGTATTGATTTGTTAAAGCGTGTTAACACATCCTCTACAGAGATCACAGTTTTGGACATCACCGCTGCTGGGACAAAAACGTGTATCTCCATTTTTGTTGTTTTTCATATTCTGATATAATTTGAAAATAACAGCTGCTCTTTACATTGTGTTACTATTTAATGAAGAATGGACCAACAGAACGGGTCCAAAAAGTACTGTTTCATTAACTTCCATTCAAAATTAATTGTTTTTTTCATCTGCTGTAAATTTACCACTTTAGAAACACAAGGCTTACTGTTACTATTACTGTTTATTTGCTGAATTTAATAGATTGCGGAAAAAAATTACAGAAAATGTGGCCTGTGTAAAGGTTATGGCACATTTACTATTTTATGTATTATTTTTTCCAATTTGTTAAACTCAGCAAAGAAATAGAAACTGCACTAAACTTTGCGGAAAAATGCCACGTATTAAGTGTATTCACTTCGCGTAATTTGACGAGGGATTTTCAAACCTTTGCATACAATTGTAAGACCAATGCTTCTAGTAGTAACAATACAGCATCACGTCATCTTTCTGTCTTTTTTCCCTTTTTAGCAACCACACAGCATCGTGCAGCGGCGCCTCCTGGAGGGCAACATCCCACGGCTGCGCGGGGAGTCCCGGGACGCCATGGCCCGCGTCCGCTCGCCCCTTGCTGACAGCAAAGAGGCAGGCGAGACGGAGGAGAGGAGCGAGAGCACAGTGGACGACTCCACTGAGGAGAGGGAATCACCAGAGGAGAGCGAAAGGAGCCTGAGGTCTGAGGAAGAGGAGGAGGGGGAGGAGGAGGAAGATGGAGACAGCAGTGATGCTGGGGGGAAGGCAGAGCTCAAGCAGAAACGAGGAGAAACTGAGACAGAGAAGGCTAGAACGGAGGAGCGAGAGAGAGCGCTCAACCTGTCAGCCCTGCTGGTGCAGTGTAAGGTATGAAGTGAATGATGAGTGGCTCTTTCAGTCACACCAGTGCTGCAAAACTCATTTCTCTTTTGCAAACTCATTTCAGCCCACTCTCTGATGCTTTCTCCGCTCCTTTCAGACATAAAACACGCTCATAATGGAGCTGATAATAAGATGCCGTGATGAGACAATCACATTCAAGGCCCTATGATAGTTCCCTATGACTCATGAGTCTCCATTCACCGTCTTGGAGATATGCAATCTGTTCATATGGGGTTTTAAAGGTCTGTATCCCTAAGACGGCCAAATCTGATGATGCCCACAAAAGCTGTACTGAGAGAATCTTTTGCAAGTGAACAACAAAGCTGGTGGACTTGAGCACTGGACTTTAATGTGCAGAGTGATTGACCTGCACCTACACTCACTGAGTAGTTCATTATCAAGTAACAAGGTCCTAATGACAAATCCATTTGGACATAACAGGCTGACATCCAAGAGTCTCATCCCATGCCAGTCAATTGGAAACCATGCAGTGCTGTATCAATTGTATAATAATCATAAGCTCCTTTATGTATGCTGCCTGTCAAAAGTTTGGGGACACCTAACCTTTCAAAACATTTCTAACAGATATTGGCATGATCTCTTTGTCCGTCCATTATAATGGCATATATTAACCCTTAAAATTAAGGGTTGATCTGCTGAAAACAGATCATTAGAGCCATTAGGATGCAAACCTGAGGGTTTGCTTTCTAATGGGAACTGGCTCAATGGTTACAATTAGAGATCACTAGTTTCCTATAGAACACCCTCAGATCCCATTAGGAAACAATCAGATGGATCTGTAATTAGTCTCAAACACCCATTGAATCATCAGAACCCTTCACATTGTGATATCAACCCATCACAAAAGCACAGAATACAGTTGTATGTTCATGAAATGCTTTTGCATGTTAGTTTCAGGTTATGTGTTCTCTAGCCTTTATTGTGCTGGGTTTGTTTTGCTGTGGACTCTTATTGTGGAGGGCAGGACTAAGTACCAGCCAGGGTTTGTGTGTTTGTGAATGTGTGTGAACTGAGGGTACAAGAGACAAGTTTGCGTGAGCTGAGGCACGGTGAGTGAAATGAGTGAAATGAAAAGCTGAGCTTATGAACTGTCTAGGTGTGGCCAATGACAGCTGGATAATAAAGCACTATGATCTGTCCGAAAACTGTTTCAATAGTGGCGAATGCTACAATATCATTAGTGGCTACTGGACACCTCCAGGAACCAAGAGAATTTTTACTGGTTTCTGTGATTTTCTTCAGCAGGGTTTTATTCAGTTAGTAATCTTAAGGCTCATTACTCAGTAGCTACTATAAATGATTTAATAGCTACTGTGAAACTAATACATAACTTATGAGAAATTGAGGAAATGAAGCCTGGATCTTCCCACGGTACATTAGTGTTGGCAGGATAAAAGAGGAATTCTACTTTTTTTCCCCAAAGTTTCATCAGAATTTCAATCACTAAGATGTAAACAAAGTCATTCAGAGTGGTTTGATGCAGCATTTACAAACCCCATAATGGTACAACAAAATGATCAAATCAGGTACTGAACCATTTGTGTCTAATGAATAAGACAGGATATTAGAACACTTGAAGAGAGGAGAGGTTAAGTTTTGAAAATTATGTCACGACCTTCAACATACCAACATTCTTTTTTTCTGTACATACAACTATGTCCAGCTTATCTTTTAGCTGTTTAAATCAGCTTTGGGCCAAACTATTTTCAATGTGTGCTTTTAACAATAGTTTGGAAAAGAAAACCATAGTCATTATTTTGGGCAAATTCTACTAATGATAGGGAAGATAATTTGATAAACATGAAGCTGAGTGTTGGAGAATATATTCAAAGCATGAAATAGCTATGTATGGTAGCAAAACCTTTGCAGATATTTTGTTTTACTTAAATGAAAGAAAATAAGCTGTCCTCAAACTTTTGATGAGCTACATATTATTAGCCATATATGACAGGTTTAAGTGGCAAAACATCCATCGCTGATGTGCATGTCAGTCCCATTCAAAAAGCCTGTCTTCCAGCCTCATGCCCCTCGACTCAGTGGCTCAGTATTGATGCTGTGATTGAGCGGAGTAAAAATAGAGCTTCAATTAAAGCCGATTAAGCCCAAGGGGTGGGAGTGAGCACGGAGCTGCTCATTTCCTCACAGCCTCCTCAAGTCAACTGAGAGTTCAACTCCAGTTTAGGAGCATTCAGAGCCACGCTCAGTGTCCGAGCCAATGAAACTACAAGGTGTGATGTGGTGGGATTATTTGCCTGCTGCATCACCACATACGTTGGTTGGCTGAACGCTCTAGACCTCATATATGTTGGGGATTCTCTTCACAGTAGGCACACTGAGAGAGGGGAAACATTCATTAGCATTTAAATGGAGCAGTGATGAGGTGATGACTATGTGGGACAGCTTTTACCAAAGCAATTCACAGCAACACATTAATGTTTCTTCTTCTGGAAAGATTGTCTACTCTGATCAGGGCAGTGAAATCATGCATAAGGGTACTTTGTGCAAAGCTGCCATTATGAGAGACTAATGAATGAGCTCAATTCCAGATCCTAAACTCCTAAAATATTAGAGGGCAACCTCATGGCCATCCTGGCATTCAGAGAAGGTCTAATGATTTCTGGGAACTAATGCATGCATGTCTGTCATTTTTAGTTGATTTTTGTTCAATAGAATCCTGCTTGTATTTAAACTCTGCAAATATTACAGCACTACTCTTGTTTCATTTTTAAGTTCTGGATGGAAACAAAAGAGTTAAGTTCTTCAAACACTGAGTGGAAAATTGGCCAATCATGAATGGTTTTTCTTTGTGGTATCTAGGTAGATTATAGCTAAGCAAGCTCTCCTATTGGTCAGGACTTTAAGAACTGAAAAGAAGTCCTAACATGTTAGATTAACCATCAACATAATTACAAAGTAATAGAAAAATCAATCAATCATGTTTTGATTTCCAATAGACAGGATCAATAAGATGAGAAAAAAGGTCACTCTAGGCCTTCTGGAAGCCTTAGACACATCACTAGTTGTGAATATGAAAGACAGCCTTATTAATGGAAATGGAAAACAGCAGCAGCCTCACTCTTCAGAGTCACTCTGAAATTGCTAATATTCATCTGTCACAAGCTTCAAATGAAAACATAGTATTTCTTTAAGTAGCTTTAAAAGTCTGTGTTTAATCTACAACGACCAACAAATATTGCTGCAAACTGCTGTTAGTTTACCGCTAACAAACTACTAGGACCCCAAAGGGATGCTGGCAGAAATTAGCATCATCGTAGAAGTGTGTTTTTTCCATCTCAGTTTTGACAAGGTTTTGACATTTACGGCTCAAATTGAAGCTTTATTAGTCACAGTTAACTAGTGTACAATACAGATACCCACACATACTGTGCTAATTTGTCTGTGCTCAGGTAGCAATGGAGTGGAGTGTTCAAAAAGAAGCATCCCTGTGAGATTGCCTGTTTCTACCTTTCATGATTTGTGCTGTTTTATCAGTTTTCAAATAAAAACAAACTCTATAATTATGCCATGACTATTTTTAAAACTTCACAAGTAGAGAGGGGATTGATAGAGACAGAGTGAGACAAGTATCTGGAGATACACTTGTGTGTGAGCACATTTTCTTCACGCTGTAACTCACATTGAATTACGTTCATGGGTGAGGATGTGATGTCTGACCCAAAAAAGAAAGAAACAAGCCTACACTCTGGACTAGCACTAAACTGGCCAAAGAAGCCAGATAAAACTAAAAAAACAGAGAAAAAAAGGTGAAAGAATTGGAAAGTTCTTTAGGGGGGCTGCAAGATGAAAGACCCAACCAGTGAGGCTGGAAGAATAATTGGGGGCAGACGTCACAGCACTCAAGCATGCGCTTGGAACAACGTTATAACAAGTGGCGGAAACTACTTTTAATGTGGTAGGAAACTTGTCAATGACTGTAATGTCTGTAGAGGTGACGGCTGCTTGCTTTAAGTTGCAGGAAGCTTATGGTGGGGGTGCGACATTGCTTTCAGACGCTTATCACCCTTTATAGAAACTGTGGGCTCACGCAGTGAAGATACTTAACTCTACTTTCTGGCCACGGCGGAAGTGGAGACCACTCAGCCACTCAGAAAAAACACAGTAATTCAGTTAACTCAAATGGTTTCTGGAAAATGATAGCTTTCCATCATTTGAGCTGCCCTAATTTCATTTGTTTGAATAGATTGCATTTATTAGCCTAGTACAAGTTATGCAACTAAAAGCGATTAAGGACAGCCTAAATTAGTCAAGCAGTTATTTCCCAAAACCACTTGAGCAAATTCTATGTTTTTGTAATATGCACACATGATGTTTACAGTTAGGGTGGGGTGTTTCAGAAATTTAACAAGGGACAATGTTGAGTGCCATTTGTGAAGATTCTTAGATGCATATTTTCCCCTAGAAATGCGATTTGTTACAGCTGTGGTTCCCAAAGTCAGTCCTGGGGACCCCATATTCTGCACTTTTTTTGTGTCATCCCTACTCTGAGCCATCTGAAGCAGCACAAGAAGAACTTTCTAACTAGTTGGTGCTGAATCAGGTGTGTTAGATAAGGGAAAGTACAAAAATGTGCATAGTGTGGGTCCCAGGACTGAGATTGGGAACCCCTGTGTTACAGAGTTTTCTTTACAGTGCAGAAATCCTTTAAGAACACACTAGATATAACCACATTTTTTCACACGGCCATTGTGTTTCAAAATTATGGCCAAAATATCTGGTTGGGAGGTGAAACGATTTTTGTTTCTGTTTTTAGCAAAGTCAAAGAAAGTGTGTTCTCCCTTTAAGTTATCTGGTTATTATTTTATGGCAAATTTAAATGTCTCTGAGACATTCTGGGACAGTGTGCAGATGGTAGTTGTCACTATAGCCAAGCGTAAAAGTTGCCATGTACCACTCAAGATAGCAAACTGTTCAGAAGACAATGTGGGTTTATAATGACCCAAAGCCTGATTGTTATTTTTGAAATACGTGCCCACCACTAGTGGTGAAGTTTGACTATTAGAGCTGGGCCTTCAGTTTGGACCATAAATATCAAAAATGAGGAAAAATACCTCTAAGATGATACCAATTTCTGCTAACGCTCCTATGGGATTCTAGTAGTGTGTTAGCCTTTAGCTAATGGCAATTCATATGAAAATTTTTTGTCCATTCCAGATTAAATACAGATATTAAGAAGCTTGTACAAGACATTCTATTCTTGTTTGAAGCTTGTTACAGCCATATGAACATATATTTCATTTTGTAGCAGTTTTACAGTGACTTAAGTAAACAGCTCTGGTGTAGAACTGCCCCTGTTTTCCGTTTCAACTGACTGAAATGCACTGGTCAAGCTACACCTAAAACTCACAGTCAGTGATGTATGTAGGTATAGAGTGACATTTTTTCCTGATGAAATTGTTCCCACTTATTGTACATCAAAATGTAATTGATTATACTGTCAGTTCCTAATTACATTAGTGGTTAATCTGATGTTAGACCTTGAGTCCAGCTCCTGAAGTTGTGACCAGTGGGAGAACTAGCTTGGATTTATCAACATTAATACCACAACACATTTCCAACCAATACTTAACAAGCATGATCCAACCAAGCATGATCCAACCAATACTTAACAAGCATGATGACTATATTAAATAGAAATGGACTCAAAATTACAGACATGTGTTTTTTATTTCGCAGAAATCTTTAGGTTAAACCTAATCATTGAACTTAAGCTAGTTAATACATTTCTACATCTAAACATTGCTATATAATGCCATGCACTTTGTGATTTTAGCTCTCATTGCAGACACGATTAAAAGTTGAAATGAAATGGCTTTATTCACGAGTGCTTTGTGTAGGTTATAATGGAATTCTCTGACTAAAGTGTTTCTCACACAGGTTCAGATTTCTCTTGACAAATCAACGAAAATCAGCACACAGGCATTCAAGCATGCTAGCAATTAAGGTTATCTGCATTGTTATGTATTTCCATATTTCTGCGATGTTGCAAATGTTGTAATCATTTAAACCTTTAAAATCCCAGGATTATTACATACTAAGGCTTATCAGTCAGTAACTACAGGGGCCTCAATGCAAACTGGCTAAGCTGTTCTTAGGTTATAGAAGAGTGTAATAAAACTTTGGGCCCTGCCCATCTAAGGGGCTAACATATAGTCTGTTAGTCACTCAAAGTCACTTAACGCTTCATGGAGCCCAGAAATAGCATGGACAGGCAGTGTCTCTAAACTAGTAGAGCTTTGCTGCCACATTGTGTGGTAGAGCTCAGGCAAGGGGACCTTATGTCAGAAGTGCATCTCAAATCCCCTCACAAAACTGTTGCTTCCTTTTACCACAGGAAGCAATAAATAATTATTGCGTAGTTCTCTTGTAGTTCTCTAGAGGAATTCAGACAGTACTGCTGACCGGACACAAGTGGTCAGGAAATAACTGGTGGTCTGATTAGTTAAGATTCAGTTAAAAGATGGCAATCTTGCTGATTCTACCAATGTCTAACCATTCTGTCACATGTCCACAACAAACAAAGCTAAAAACTATTGATTCATCACATGGGAAACACGGTCAGTTAAATCCTGTTGGGTCTGCTAGAACATGAGGCCAAAGGGTGAGACTAAAAATAAAGTCACAGCAATGAAACACTAATGGTCATTGAGAGTGCCTTCTGTAGTCAGGGGTCTTCCTGTACAGCCCATTATAACTGTGCACCATTAGTTAGGGGTTGTCAAATAATGACCTACACACTGGATCAGGTAATGGCTGAATCATTGTCTTATATAGGACCAGGGTGCTGTTTTCTGCTCCTCACTGTGCTGTATTAAAACATATGTCACAGTGAAGATAAGATAAGATAAGGCTATTTGAACCATTTGTAATTTAACACAATCCTTTCATTCACCTCTTTGAAAAACCACTACATGTTTTGGTCTAAAGGCTTATTTCTAAACTTTATGTCATGGTTTGTCATGTTGCAGTGACTTCTCAAAGAGGGGATTGAAAGGATTCTGTGAAATTACAAATGGTTCAAATAGCCTCATACATACTCTTAGTGTATTGCTATTATTGAATATTGGGTAACACTTTATATGAGGGCCACCTGCGTATGGACTTCATAAGACATAAGCACTGTGTAACATATCCAAAAGCAATAGTTCAGTATTTATGAAAAGCTTATGCCAGCATTTACCAGATGACACAAGATGCTTTATGATGTAAAAGGCATTGTGAAAAACTAAAGTGGACATTTCATTTCATTTATATCACTATTATGAAGCATTATTCCCCAGTAATGAAATATTTAATGTAAAGCTCTAATTAAGAGCACCTGTTCTATGCCCTCAAATGTACATGACAATTTCCAAACATATTCTTTCCTCTGTCTTACAGATTCTTCATAACAGTGTTATAAACAGATCAAACATCAGTCCCTTTAGTTTAAGGGCCCTGACATCAGTGTAAAGTTGTTTACTTTCGTAAAAGATTGTATGTCATCTGCTTAATACTGTCATTAGCTGTTCTTAAATATTCAATTTTTGTATTGTTTTTTAAGTGTCATCCAATGCTTGTGTGGTATCTAATGCCTGTGCATGTGTTATGAAGTCCTCATGTGGCTAGTCTTGAAATAAAGTGTTAATGAGTACAGTCAGTCAGAATCTGCTTTTGTTAAAACAACACCTGCAAATACTTACAGGCATCTTTTTGGTATGTTCAATTAGGCCAAAGTGTGCTTATTTTGTGTATTGTGCTTGCAGGTGTTAGAGGGCAGAAATCAGTTAGCAGGCCAGGGTCTGTACAACAGCAAAGTACTTAATTACTTTATTAATTGTCACTCTTGTTTTATGTGTGAAGCCTCCACCTCTTATGTGAGTGTGATTAGCATTGTGTGAGTGTGCAAGATGGCTGTTTGTGATCTGTAGGTGTTTGTGTTGCAGTGCGGTGATGCTGAGGTGAAGGTCTCCATCAACACAGGCTGTCAGTACAACCACATCTCCAGCACATGCTGCAGGAGACTGGGGTGAGTCAGAACTGCACACACATTTCCTCTTGTTGGGTATTGCAATACTTGGGAGGACACTAACTCAGCTTACACTAACTCAAGTGATACTGTAACACTGTGCAATGGTAACTTTGAAAGCATGTAGGGTTCTCTGGAGGTTGTGTGGTGGTCAGATGATTGTGAGTGGTTTATGTGAGAGTCACAGACAGTGGGGCTGGCTAGCTAGTGATTTTTGTAAAAAAAAATAGTGGTTATCTGACTCGAGTGACGATGTGTGATGATACTGTGATGTTTGCATTTGAGCAATCATTGATCTGCACCAGGGCTGGCCTGGTAACTTAATTCAGCCCTGGATCAGTTTACTACAACCACAACCACAGTGACCTCTTCCCCAACCTGACACCCCCACCCCCTTGGTCAAGACTTGCTATCTTAGTTGCAGTAAGAGGATGCGTCTTTTCGAACAGCAGTAAACACGGTTTATATCTTTAAAATACATGAGCATGAACATGTCAAAGATGCTGTTGCTTGGCTTAGAACTGCAGTGACTGCTAGTCAGCTAGCTAGTTAATTAGCCAGTGTGTGATCGTACATTAACATTAACATAGCCTGAGTGTACAAGCAGACTGAATAAACTGGCTAACTCACCCTTCTGCACTTTGGCACTGTGGTTCCTTGTTCTGATATCCCAAACAAATCGTGTATGCTTATTTTCACTTGTTTAAGTAACTTTCTGTTTTTTATGAAGCTCCCTCCTCTCCTCTTATGCTTCTTGGGTTTTTTTCTAGCTACTTTTTACAGTTTAACTTTCCAAGTTGTTATGATTTTTGCTCTGGAGGTGGCAGAGTTTGTGTAATTGGTGCATAGCTACACAATGAGAATGCATTGGGCTGCTAACGTGTCTAGATATGTGCACTCCAGTATATGCCTGGCACATGCTTTTTGTCCTGAGCAGCCTTCATTCATTTTATATGGTAAACGTGTTCTTTTGAGTGATAAATCACGCTTCAGTATCTGGCAGTCTGATGGATGAATCTGGGTTTGGTGGATGCCAGGAGAACCCTACCTACCAGAATGCATAGTGCCAACAATAAAGTTTGGCAGAGGAGGGCAACATGACACCTCTGGCACATCTGCAAGCTGTTTGATGTCAGTTTGTGGGAGTGGGTAGGTCAGGTTCTCACTCTCTCAGTGGCCCACACACATTTGTCCCGGTCCTCCTGATGGCCAGTCCATTCCTGCTATTTCTTGCTCCCTTCCAGTTCTAAACACTTGGTACCCTGGTAAATTCAGCGTGGGTACTAAGGTCTGCTATAGCATGGTACGGTCACAAAATGTGGGATCATATACTGTCACATACTACACAGACTGGTGGAAAAATGCCTTTAGTCTTTTGTGGGTACTTATGAGGATAATTGTGGGGCTGTAAGTATGCACACAAAGTTAAAGTTAAGGGTAAAACAAATACAGATCTTAAGGCTGTGATGCAATACACCAGTATTTCATCTCTGTTGTTTGTTAATTGCATGTGTGTTTGTGTTTGTGTGTGTTGCAGACTGAAAGCCAGTCCAGAGACTAAGCCTCTCAGTGATTCCATGGTTAATACAGTGACATCTGTGCCGCTCCAGTTTGGTAAAGAGAGGGTGCAGTGTTCTGCTCAGGTCATAGGTAAGACTTCAGCACCCCACCAAGACCGGGTCTGTTTTAAAATCTGCACCAGTACTTAAAAAATCTTTAGACAACTTCCATGACTGTCTTCTGTAAAGGTTGATGGATGAACAGGAAATCAGTGTAGCAATCCTGAACAGTAGTACCGACATACACAGATTTTAGTACTTATGATGTGTTCAGAATGCTTGCGGATGATGGAACAGTATTTGTGTACAGCGCTCCTGAGATTCTTGAGGCTGAAGCTTTAGAATTAGCAAGAAAACAGTAGCTTAGTTAGCCTAGTTAGTTATAGTGATAACTGCTAGTTGCAAACATTTGTAAAAAAGACTCATAAAAATGCTGCATTCAATCACTGAATGGCAAAAAAAGACATACTGACAGAACAGTACAAACACTAAACATGCAATGTTGAAGGGGAATTCCACCAATTGTTCAGAATTTCTGTTTATGTAGATTAGGTTATGATGTAAACAAAGTCATTCAGAGTGGTTTGATGTGAAAGGCCTCATTCTGTAGAATGTTGTTCACAGTGGTGGTGATAGGAACCAGACATCTGAAGCATTTAATGTCTATAAAAACTCCCTTACAGAAAATTTTTAAACACAGTTGTTACAAATATGATACCTGATGTCTGGAACATTATTTTATCATAGTTCTGAGGTAAGATTTTGGCCTAAAAAAGTTTTAGGCAGAGAGGTACATGCAGGGTATTGTAAGGCAAAATAGTACTCAAAGAAACCTTTTGTTTCGGAATAACCTCTATTTTATTATTATCTACATTACATATATAAACCCAGAAGACATTTGTAGGTGTGCAGGTCATTTTGGATAGTGAATAAAATGGCTATATTTGCGTTGTAGACATCATGATCCCTGGTTCCTATAATCACCACTGTAAAGAAGTCTGAGATGGTAGGTTTCTCTACAGTAAACCATTTTACATCATCCCACTCTAAAAGACTGTTTGAATTATGCAGAAATTTAGAAAAATCTGTGGAACTCTGATTTAAATAAAACTGATAGATTATAAGCAACTCATCATAAAAGGCTCTTTGCCCACCAGACAAGGACAAGATTAAGGTTGGGCCTGTTGTAAAAACAATGAGCAGACCACTACTCTAGAACAGGCGAAAATATTGTAGTAAATGGAAAGGGGTCCCCAGGAAATTTGCTACATCATGTTTTACATGACTCCTTCTCAGGCATATCTTCATGGATGGTCTTTGGACGAAATCTCCTGTTACATAAGCTCCAGAGAGCCCGTGAGGGCTGTGAGTGGTCTGAGCCTGCTGCTGACATTTTCCTCCAGCCACGAAGCAGCCAAGACAAAGTGTATCAGGCCGTGGAGGGAGCTATTAGCCCCTAACATGGGGGCACGTGTAGCCACTGCGATGCGCTTTGCATACAGATGCACTACACACCCAGCTAATGAACTCATTTAGGATCCAGCCCTGCTGTGCATCCCACTAATAATACAGAGGCTGAGGATACTCCTGTAGGGGTCATATATGCTCTGTCTCTCAGTCTCTTTCATTCTCCGTTCACAGATGATGAGACGTTTGAGCTACGCCTGGGCCTACACACCCTGCTGGAACTCAAAGTAAGCCTTTTGGTTTTTTTTTCGTCTCTGCTCTTTTCTGGAATTTGGTAGCCACATCTCCTATGAGCATTATGAACCACAGGCTAAAAGTGGGTAGCCTTTGAAGGCTTTGGTTTTCAAAGGCAGGATACAACCCGATAGTATCTACATTGCTCTGCAATTGCATAATGGAAAACTAGCCCCCACACTCGGTTACCCATCAGGCTCAATCTACCCAAACTGTGATTTGATTATAGACATCAAAGCACCACTCTAAAGTCTGGTTTGCCTGTCTGGGGTCTTGACCAATGGAAAAACTAAGATAAGGTAGGGTAATTCAGTGGAGTTCTTAACGGAAGCAAACTTTAATCCAGACATTTCCTCTGGAAAGCCCACAGATTGACTGATTTTGTCCTCTGATAAGTAAGCACAGTGCACATTTGTCGCTTATACAGATCTGAGCACTGCTTGGGAAGTAATGTTAATGCAATAGTTTGGCCAAAAAACAAATTTATACAATATTCTCCTTAAACTAAATGTAGCCGCTGAAAACATGTTAGCTGTTTAAAGTTTGCTTCTTGCTACAGGACTAATGTAGCTAAGTGATGGACCCATCAACTAGTACTGTTCGAATGTCATAACTCAGTCATCACATCATCATCATCACCATCATCATCTTTAACCGTTTAGTCCAGATACGGTCACGGTAGCAGTTGGGAGAGCAGAGAATCCCAGACAACCATGTCCCCCGCAACTTCCTCCAGCTCGTTCCAGGGGACCTCAAGCCGCTCCCAGGCCAACTTAGAGATATTATCCCTCCAGCGGGTCCTAGACTGTCCCCAGGGTCTCGTCCCAGTAGGCAGTGCGTGGTAAACCCCCACACAGAAGCATCCAGGGGGCATACTGATCAGATGCCCAAACCACCTCAACTGGCTCCTCTCAATGCAGAGGAGTAGCGGCTCTACTCCGAGCTCCTCCCGGATGACCGAGCTCCTCACCCTATCAAATAGAGTGTAGCCCACCACCCTGTGAAGAAAGCTCATTTCTGCAGCTTTTGTTCGCGATCTCATTCTTTCGGTCATTACCCACAGCTCATGACCATAGGTGAGGGTCGGGATGTACACCAACCGGTAAACAGGGAGCTTTGCCTTATGGCTCCGCTCCCTCTTCACCACTACAGTCCGGAACAGTGACTGCACTACTGCTGTCACCTGTCCCAGCCTGTGGCTGATCTCACCATCCCTCTTCCCATCGCTCGTGAACAAGACCCCGACGTTAAACTCCTCCACCTGGGGCAGGTCCTTTCCCCTTACCTGGAGTGGGCATGCCATCCTTTTCCGGGCTAGGACCATGGACTCAGACTAAGTCATCACATACTTGCCTCAAACCATGTCGAGCTGTTAAGTGATCTCATATAGACTTCAGGACATTGTATAACATACTGTTATCTATAGATAAGTACAAAAGTATGTCATGTAGCTAAAAATAGTAGCAACAGCCTCCTTGAAACATGAATGGCTGATATTTTTGTCCACTTTTTATAGATAACTATACATTTGTGTGTAATTTAGATTTACTTTGCTTTAAGCTTGGTCATCACTATATACTGAAAATCCATATAAGTAGCTCTGAAATCACTAAGGCAGAAACTTCTTGCCTTCTTTTCAAGACGGTGCTGATGGTAGCAGGGCCTGAGGGACACCAGCTACAATTTTTGTCCCATTATGTGCCTGTGTCTGACTGATTCAATTGGGAATTTCATTTCATTTTCAGCACTGTTACAAAGTGTTCAAAGTAGCCCAAAAATAGACATGTTCTTAAAAAAGGGGGAGTGGGGGGATGGGGCAGTTGGAGAACGAGCATTAGTATTAGAATCGTCACTCGTCTCAGAGGAAACAGTTCCATGCATGGAAGAAAAGAGGCTCTGAAGCTCGATGAGTGCTAGAAAGTATGTACATTTCTGACACTTTGTCACTCACATTTATACTCACGCAGTGTTTTGTAGCATATATCTTAGATACACTAAGAATATTATCATACAACTAGAAGCAGTGTTTCACTGAGCATGTAAATGAGCAGGAGAGAGGAGTTTCCCCCACACAGAAACGGCATCCAAATTTTGCTGTAAACATACTGTAATTAAATATGGTTACAATTTATATTACATTTAGTCAATTCCATGCATGTACAGAAAAATGGATTGATGGTTGGATTTTTAGTTTTTGAATGATAATAATTTAGCTTTTATTTGAGTATATTTATGTGGAAAAGAACCTATTTTAGCTCAGCGACTGATTTGCTGTTGCTCAGATTTCTCACTTCTGATCTATATTATTGTATTTTACACAAGCGTTTCCCAACCTTGGTCCTGGGGTCCCCTCTGGCCTACAAAAAATATGAAAATATGCAGGACAGGAGCTTCCGAGTGGTGTAACCGCTTCGTTATTCAGTCTCAAGATTTGAACCCACAACCATTTCAAGGCAGACCCACTGCTCCTACCTCTAGGCCAGGGGTCAATGATCCAAACATTAAGAACAGCCAATTTATCCTTTCAACAAAAATCATTCTGCCACAACATTTTATGTTCATTTATCGAAGTAATGTTTTACAGTCTGTAAATATGTCTCAGTATGTGCTAATATACTAATATAGGCTAAATATATAAACAAAAACACAGACTTACTTTGCTCTGCATTAAGCTTTAGCTCAGCTATAGCCACTTTTCTCGTATCTCCAACAGGAAGATAGGATCTTCTGCAAAAGTAGAATAATTTCTTGTAAAATGTCTCTCAATGTTTGGCGTTTTACGAGGCTGAAGTCAGCTTCGCATTTGCCAGCTTCTTGTTCGAATTTTCCCGTTCCACCTTATAGGGTGCATGTAACTGCTGCACCATTTAAGGTGGAACAGGAAAATTCGAGCGAGACGCTAACTTCAGCTTCACAACTTTTTTAGTGTTTGACGGTTTCTTGTTGCAGATTAAACATATCAGGAAACCAGCCGCTTATAAATGCAAAGAAGTCCATTCATCTCCAAAATATTAATGTTCAGCTAAAATCTTTCACTTTGCTGTTTCATTAGCTACTTGCTAGGTGACATTGTCTGTGTTGCTATGGTGACCAGCAGTCTGCATGCCAACCTTTAAGCTTAAAGGGTGAATAGCAGTTATAGATTAACTCCAGCGTTTAAGTCCATTTATTGTCAAAACTGTGTTAGAACGATCAGTAGAGCTTTATTTTACTGCAAAGGAGGATTATTTTATTTTACCTAAAAATCAAATTCTGCTGTGGAGCCACAACAGGGTACTAAAAAGCTGCATGTGGCTCCAAAGCCAAATGTTATAAACCCTTGCACTAGGCCAACCAGGATTACATATACTACACGTCAGGACCAGGGCTTGGAAGCTGTGTCAGAGAAGCACCTTACAAACGTATTTCAACGTTTCTAGTTGAGTCACTTCTACTTTCACTGAAGTAACACAATCTTTTCTGGAGGATGTCTTTAGGCTGCTCTACCCTCTGTTAACTTAATATAACACTAGCTGAAAATACATAGGCATAGTGTCCACCCTATTTAAGTGTAGTAACACAATAATAAGAACCATGTGTGGTAAGATGCTGCTCTTTGTTGCCCACAGTGTTGCATTGACCTGAACGTTAGAGTGCTCCGCCTCCACAACACCGGGGAGGAGCTTCCCTTCTTGGAGACACCTACCTGCAGCCAGTGCCATCACCATGATGACAACAAGAACCTGTGACCTTTGACCTTCCTCTTTATCATGACCAAACCCCCAACAAATTGGGGGGGTAAGTGGAGGTAAACAGGAAGTATTTGTGGGAGGGAATCTGCCTCTGAGTGTGTTTGGACTACAGCATCACTCAGTGTTGTCACTTGGCCAGAACAACTCTAAGTCCTTTCCACTCAGCCTCCTCTTTTTCCTCCCCCTTTCTCCTCCACCCATCTTCTTGTGTTGTTTTCTGTGTCATTTACATCATTTTGCAAATCATTGTTTTCCCCCTTTACTGAATAAGTCTTTATTTTGTGGAACAAATGTGTGCTATGAGGGAGGACAGATTTATATGTGTCGTTCTCGCTAATATGTTTTAAATTGCTTTGTTTCTTATAATCAGACCAAATATAATCATAATGATACAGCCAACACAGTACATGAGTACTTAAATCTTAAATAAATCAAAATTACACACAAATGTGATTTGCTGTATAAAATTACAACATAGTTAAATAGTTTGGAGATTAAGATTTCTGTAAAGAGCCTCAGAATTAGAAATGTGTTGCCTTTTTAATGTCTGACCTATGAAGCTCGCGCAAAGGAGTTAATGCTTTCAAGCTACCACCAAAGTAAAAACTGTTAATTGGCCCCCCTTGGTGTATGGGTTAATCATAATTTGAGGGAAAATGTCAAAACACTGAACAAAATTGGGAGTAAAGCTAAAAGTAAAGCTCTGTCCTCAAGGCTTTTACCCACAGGAAAATGTGGAGAAGAACGTCATTAGCACCTAATGCTAGGCCGGGCTTCTGTTACCCTTCTCAAATGTTAATTGAGCCCTTGGGCTGGCTCTCGACTCCATATGTATGTCAGACATATCAGGACATTCCAGATGCAAGACTTTGTAGATGTATATCCCTGTTTTTTTTAAATCATTGACAAATTAATGTGAGTCTAAGGGGGGTATGTGTTTGATTTGTGTTGCTAGCATCTTCTAGACATTTATGTGTTTTCTAACCGTTTGTGTTCAACACATGCAGGTAGAAATATGGCTAAAGCTGGTCCACCACTTCTCAAGCCAAATTCCTATTCAATGGTACCAAATTCCAGTCTATCCTGCCTTTGCTCACTTCACCTTTAAAAGTGAGAACATAGCACCAGAGGTTTATCTCTAAAACAAGGCCTCACTGGGTTTCATTCACTCCTAAGCACCTGCTCTGTCTTAGTTTCAGTCAGAAATCTGCCTGGTGCAGCTTCTTGTGGTTCAGATCTACTGTGACTAACACTAAGATTTCACATTGGCTGATTTGTTTTTTTTGCATCTCTACACCACTGCAATGGAGAGAACACGTCAAAACGAAAGGGCGCCTGCGTCTCGCATGCTGCCCACACAGCACTTGCCCTTGATCCATTTTGAATGGTGTGAGTAACCGAGAGGACAGCACACAATGCTCAATCTGCTAAATCATCTGGCCTCTGTCACTTGCAGCGCCGCTTTGGATCTCTCATCGGAGGTCATTCACGCTTAGATTTGCTCTGCTTTTGTGTCCGCCTCTGACGTACTGCGGTTCTTTGTATGCTTTGGAGGAAGGAAAATTGATGTACGAAAGAGTTTATTTTTGGTGTTTTTTTTTTCTTTTCTCTGAAGTGTATTTTCTCTGCCTAATAAAAATATGTATTCTGGCTATGAATGTGTCTATAGACTGGAAATGATATACTTATGTGTATATATACATATATACATACATACACACACTTATGCACATTTTAATGCCCAATAAATGCTTATTTGCTCAATTTAACATATTGAAAAAAAAGAAAAATGTGGACACAGCAAAAGTTTATATTTTATGGTTTTTTTTTTCCAATATGTTAATCTCAGCAAAAAAAATAGAAATTTAGCACTAAAATCAATATGAAAAATGGCATATTTTAAGTTTTCCCTGTAGTGGAACTTATTTTCACTTAGAAAATCCATAGAACATGTCATTTGACCAATGGTGATCAAACCTTTGCATACCACTTTATAGACTGTATATAACATATATATATATATATATATATATATATAAATATATATATATATATATATATGTACAGCTTTTTATACATACATACATACACACAGCTTTACATGGAATCAACAGAAATGGTTCAAAATAAAATCTTTACATATTATGTAATGGATGGAACACTTCAGTTAAAGAGACTATAAATCACAATCAGCACGGTTTTTCACTGAGCTCTCTCACCTCCAGCTCTGGTGGTTCTCATGGTTGTGTGCCAGTGATGTGATCTCACCCAGGATGGGTAGAATGCTATTTAAAATCTCTTTTCATGTGGCAGTGGAGAGTAAGCAGATGTTCCCACAGCCAACGAGAGCCAAGAGGCCTGCCTCCAGTGACCCTGTCCCACAGATACTGCCTCCTCTGGGACCGGTCCATTACCCATTGCCAGGGTCACCAAATCTTCAGGAGCTTTAAGAACAAAGCTTAATGACATTTATCCAAAATGAGCCAAAACAGCCCAAATGAACCACTATTCATGCTGGATTAACCATAATCTAATTTGGAATGGATTTGGCTATATAAGGTATCTGTTTGAAAGTCCCATGGACAGGCTGGATTGAAATGTCATAGCCCAGATATACACATCAGCATTGCAAGAACATTTTTATTACATTATTTTAACAGGACTGCTATTACTAAACTCCACGTTCAATATATTACAGAAGGTTAATTATTACTTATTATTACTGTCAAACTTCATACATACAGCAGCTTCTGGAACACACATTACATGACTTCCTCAGGCAAAACTAATTAATCTCAAAGAGGGTTTAAATAAAACTATAATCTAGGAGGACTGTTTCTAGACGTTAACAGCCAGTTCTGGTCATCTTTAGCCAAACCCTGCATCCCAGTCCCTACTGGGGCAACAAACTCAGTGTGGTTTAACAAACACTAATCCCTATTCTAAGACCACTGGAATAGTCTTCCTTTGGCTCCCTCAAATAGTGTAATATAAAGGATCCTGTAGGAAGGGTGAGGCTAAAGCAATTTCTATAGCCAGTAAGTAAGCAAATGTGGCTAAGTAGTGTAAGGAGACATAGCTACCATTATTATCAATATGCTGTTCTCCCACAGTTCTTTTGTCACTAATGGATTTCCTCCCTTCGTGGGTTTTAACATAAAAGCAGCAGCATCCAGGCCTTGTAAGCAGCAATTCACACTGAAGAACAAAACGTCTCCTGCTCAGAAAAAAAGGACATGGCTTTAGCTGCACCACTGCTGTTCAACATCCCACAATGCATTAGGAGGCCTGTGGCACTTTCTTCTGACTGACTGCACATGCCACATCCTGTCACAGCTACATTGGGTGGTCTTATTCCAGTAGTACTACGAAAAGCAAAGAACAACTAGTACTGCCTGTTTATAGCTTACAGACATGAATCGGGGCCATTTTGACACCTTTACACCTTCCTTTTCTGGAAAAATACGTCTGTTAAGAGACTGAAAAATGTCTTGTTATGTGTGGACACCTGTACTACTTACCAAAGTGTTCATAAGTGATCATTTTCCCACTCTTTCATTAGATAGAACAGGTTAAATTGTTCAAACTTTCTGTGCGTCTGTAGAGATATTCATGAATCAGAATATCTCTGCCATTATAAAGATTTACAAACCTTAACCTCTGAAAATTAGGTTTCCTTGGAACTGCTGTAAAAGAACCAACAGTTCTTTTATAAAGAACTTTTGACTTGATGGTTCTTTAAATCAATACTTAAGCATTTTTTAATCTAGCATCTTTTTAGTCTCTGCTACACATAAATATGTATTGGGCAAAGCAGCATTTGCTGATATATGATTTGTACTTTGACTCAAAGTGAAAGGCTACATATTGACATCACTGTACAGTCTTCATATGTGCTTTATAGTTCTTACTTATGCAACTAAATACAATATAGAGGTGTACACTGATAGTAGCTTTGTCTTGAAGCATATTTAAATAATCATGTGTGTAACAACAGATTCTGTTTCAGCTACAATTTACACTGTGCAATACAGAATAAAGTAGAGATTAGCATAACATGGGGTTCCCCATGACTTCTCTACACACTTAAAATGACGGTTCCTCACCCTTTGCATGATTAAAGGGCTCTTTGCATCATGAAATGGTTCTTCAGATTGATGGAAAATCTATAGGTTCTATATAGAACCTTTCTGAAAAGGGTTCTATGCATTGCACCAAAAATGGTTGTTCTATTGTAACAAGCTTTAACAATATAAGAATCCTTTTTGGTGCTACATAGAACCCTTTTCTGAAAGGGTTCTATATGGAACCATCTATGGCACATTCTCCATCAATCTGAAGAACCCTTTCATGATGCAAAAAACCCTTTAATCATGCAAAGTGTTCTTTTGTTCATGGTTCTATACAGAACCATTTTCTTTACTACAGAATCCTTGAAGAACCATCATTTTTAAGTGTGTACAGTTCAACCTCCCCTAAAACCTCCTCTCCCTCTTCTATTTCATCTGGTGTTCTCCTCTCTCATTGCCTCTTTTGTGTTTTCTTTTTAGAAGAAACTTTGTCTCTTTGACTTGAGCCTTCCAATTCTATACAGTGTTGCTAAATTGCCGACTTGACTGACAACTACTATGTGACTTACTAAGAAATATGTATATTGCTAGTCATGTAATTAACACCCATGTTGGTTTAATATTCATTATTTAATTTGACAAGAGGCTAAATGGAATTAACAAAGAACAGCTGTTCAGTCTGAAATCAGTTGTGACCAAAACTAAAGTTTATATTTTGTTCAAGGTAGTGCTTCTTCACTCATTTGCTCAGTTGAAGGATGTTTCTGTAGCTAGCCAGCCCCAGGGCATTTCACAGGCCATTTGCTGAGTGTTTTGCTCTGAAAATACTCTCACAGTTTTACATGAAAATGAAAAACGTTTGAAAATAGACATCTCAAATCAATATAACTCTTGCTATGCACAACCCACCTACACCTACACTTAACTTGACTCTATGGCCATTAGTCAGTCAGAGGAACGAACAGCAGTCTAATCTGAACACACACTCGATATGCATAAAATGTTGTCTCTGCCTTGAAAAGGTGACTAAACTAAAACAGACATAATTAATATGCGTAATTAATATTTGAGTGAAAAACATGTATTTTAGTCATACTTTGAAAAACTGGAGGCTGTGAACAACACAATTAGTGTAAGTCAGCAGTCTAAGAAAGGAGACATGAGATAAGAGATACTACTCATATAAGTTCCATACAAAGTGGGGATCCCAAACTATAGGGAATGAAAATGTTCCACTGGGAAGGGAACTTCAAAGCACATAGAAAGTAGTGAACAACAGTTTATCACTTTGCAGAAAACTGTAGGAAACTTTACCCATCAGTCATTGCTGGTCTCTTTTAGCTGTTTAATTATGATGCTGCAGGACTTTCCAGTTAAAGGTATTCATGAACTGCAGCTCCAGTGCTCAAGTGTGCAGGGAATATAAAGGACTGCTCAGGGACCCTGTGGAATGGAATGCAGCTTTAGACGCATCTTAGAATGCAAAACACAACTCATGAATGCGTTGATTTGTCAGTTCATGGTTACTTACCATCATTCACTTGTAACATAACAAAGCCTTTAGCCGGTGGGACTGCTCTGTTATTTGATGCGTTAACAGCGAGCCCTGAGACGAAGAAGGCAGGCAGAAGAGACTGTGACAGGCAGCATGAGATACAACACTGCTCAGGTGGGGTTTGGGGCTGGATTATGATTGACACATTGCTTTGGCTCTGGATGTAACAGACCTTAAAAGAAGAATAAACAAGCACATCCAGCTCAACAAGAACACTGTCTGTCCATTCCACATGGATAGAAGTGGGGCTCGTCACAGGAGGATAGTTCTGTCTCTTAGGAGAGCAGATATTTCCGTCCACCTTACAGGGAAGACACACAGGGAACCCGGAGGGAGAGGGGAATACTGATCAGAAATACAGTCACACACACAGCATGCTGAATGACAGAGTGGAAAATCCCAGAGCAAAGGACGGAGAGAGAGAGCGATACAGACACTGGGGTTTCTTCCTGCCCATAATGAGCTCTGTGATGAACAGTAGGATCCGGTTTTGCAGGCTGAAGCTGTGTCGGAACTACTGTGGTGTTTCATATTGCATCCTAACGAGTAATGAATATACACTGGCACAAGCGAAGACATTTGATTCAAACCCCGCTGCCTTCAGGATAAATAAAAGGGTTTATTAAAACAGCCGCTTACGCCTCCGTCCTAAGAGGAGCGGCCCAGAGGATCATCAGCCAGTGGGGTATTAAAGCCAGCACTGGAGGAGTCAGATATGTCAGTCAGTAAGGGAGGATCTGCGCAAGCGAAGGCCGTATATTTGAGTTAAGTAATCTCAAATAGATAGTCAGGACCCTGACGAGAGAGATTGGCCTGACACTGATAGAGTGCAGGCAGAGACTGTTTGTCAAAAGTTTGAGGACTTTAAGCCTTTCGAAATGGGATCATACAGAAACTGGAAAGCAGAATTTTCATCTCTTTTTTTAAAAGCATTTTATGCTTTATATAGATATTGTTAAAGTTTGAAAACATTATTCACTCCTCTGTCCACACAGTCCATATGCAAAGTAAAATGTTTTGAATTCATTGTTTC